GCTCGGATACTACAACGTCAAGAGTTCGAACTCTCAGATTTCCATGTCCCAAAACGGTCGTTGCAGCATCTGGCTGTTGAACTGCTAATACCTTAATTGTTAAGTACATGTAAGTAATTACAACTTTATGTTCTGGTTCATTATCTACCAGTTGATTTTCGTTAGCTGATTTCTATAAATTAGAAATATTTGATAGTTTTTATAATAGATTATCATTGAACCTATTTTTGTGTCTGTTTATGTCTATAAAAAAATCTTTTTATTCGTCTGTATTTGATAGCAAGCTTTTGTTTTGTTATTTTATAAATTTTTGAAAATAAAATAATTACTGATTAGAAGTTTACCAAATCCAATCGAATCGTCTTTCAACTGGATTATTTAGTAAAATAAACAAAATTTTGTTCGTATATAATTTAATGAAGTTGAATGGTGATGAGTTTGAATTTCAAACGAATTTTTTTTAATTTTCAGAGATAAATTAGAATGTCCGATCATCACATATACTAAGATCTGTTTTACTTCAGGAACCTTTTCATTTATTGTTTTATTTCAAATTTTTCAGAATAGGATTTCTTTTTGTAAATCATGTTTTCTCAACAACATTTAATTGAAACTAGGCAGCAAGATACGTCTTTTCATGCACTATTAGATTAAGCAACATTTAGCGGTAGAAAAAAAAGTCAGTTTTTAACGGCAATTCGTTTCGTTTTTCAAAGTTTGAGCAAAAGTTGCACTATTCCATAGGATTGTAGAGTGGGGAACAACCTTACATTCCGTATGTATTCGACCAGAGCTATCAGAAAAACAGACTTTCGTTTTTAGTTGAGCACTTTTGCAACAATCAAGAGTCCTATGGCAGTGTTTTTGTTTGCAAAAGACTTTTTTTTGGAAGGGTTCATGCAAATGTGGTTAACTGTTGTTTAGATAGGTTTGTAATAGGAACGATCTCTTAATCTTTTGTCTCAAAATGAATTTATCTTGTGTATAATTGTCAGGCTTACAATTCCAGGTACCTTTGGAGCTCTCTGATCCGATTTAGAATTCAAATTTCATCTTTTACCAGAATATTTCATATTTACGCGCTAAGGTTGAAATCATTTTCGATTATCCAGAAATATTTTGTTTCGAACCCACTGAATGAATCAAAGAGTAGGCCTTTTTGCTTTGCAATGGTAAAAGTTGTTCATGTGGCATAATTTTCAGGATTTCAACATTTAGGCTGACTCGGTCGCAAATTTTCGTAATAGTCGTTACTTTTACTAAGTAAAGGTAAGATGATTATTTAGAGAGAGAGGATTATTTACTGTAAGTTACTGGCTTTTACAGAACAATTTCAAACACCCGGTTTTCCAGAGGTTTTCTGGAGAGTCAGTTTTCGGTATCTCACGAAGCTCAAGTATGAGAACTTCGAAACTTGGAACATTAGTAGCACTAGATGAGATCTCTTTGCAAAAGAATTTTGAAAGGGAATTTTAGTGAAAATCGAGCTTTAAGTCAGGGATTTTCGACACCCACAAGACGTTGTGAGCCTAATAACTCAGTCAGGTAAAAAGCTTTAGAGTTCAGCTTTGTGCCATTAGAAAGTCTTTGAAATGTGCTACGTTTTGATTATAAATAAGTTGATATTTCATTCTTTTTTGATCATTTCACATCCGTTATAAAAATGTGAGCATATTTTATAAGATTTGTCATCAGATCAGCCTAAATGTTGAAACCCTGAAAATTATGCCCCATAGACAAGTTCTAGAGCTTTACTAAATGGTCACTTCGAAAGTTTTTAAAAATGACTGGTTGGAATAAGAACGAAGGTTTTGCTTAAAGTAGAATGTGGCGTGATTTTTTTACCAGTTTCCATCCGGCTTCTTCAGAGACAAAATATGGTTTTCTGGGTAACTCGAGACACTCTACAAAACTGACATAGTGGGATTTTATCGGCTAAAAGTTGTATATAGATGGGAGGACCTGGGTAGAAGCACCTAACATTTATTCGTCAAAGCAATTTCAGATCAGATCTCCACAACACAAACAATGGCGTCCCCAGCAGCCCAACCAAGTACGATACCCGGTATGGGTACCAAAATCAATCACGATGGCGGAGGCGTCAGTTTTCGTGTTTGGGCTCCTCATGCCGATCAGGTTTACGTGGCGGGGAACTTCACAGAGCCCGCGTGGGGCGAAGGCAAAATTCCGCTGGCTCGTGAAGGAAACGAGTCGGGCTACTGGTCGGCTCTTGTTCCCGAGGCCAAAGAAAATGATCACTACAAATTTGTCATTTCGTCCAAGGGTCAGCCTGATCTCTGGAAGTTAGATCCCTACTGCCGCTGTGCGACGGGCTATGTTGACCCAAAGGACGGCTCGACTCGTCAAAGCGAATGTGTCATTGTCGATCCCGACCTGTTCAGTTGGGATAAGAAACAATTTACAATGCCTTCGTGGAATGAACTCGTGATATATGAGTTACATCTTGGTACATTCAGCGACAACGGGATAACTTCTAGACGATTTCTCGACGCCATCGAGAAACTGGACTATCTTGCCGAACTGGGCATCAACGCTGTTGAGATCATGCCTTGTACGGAGTTTGACACAAACACATCGATGGGATACAACCCTTCCCTTCTGTTCGCCATTGAAGCTGATTACGGAAAGGAGCGGGGTGTCCAGCGATTCGTTAACGAGGCTAATCGTCGGGGAATCGCTGTCCTATTCGACGTAGTCTACAACCATTTGGGTCCGGACAATCTGGGTGATTGTTTCTGGTGTTTTGATGGATGGCAAGAGAATAACTATGGGGGCATCTATTTCTATCAGGACGATCGAGCTCAAACTGATTTTGGAGCCACTCGGCCCGACTTCGGACGGCCTGAAGTACGACAAATGTTAAGAGACAATGCCATGATGTGGCTTCATGAATACCGTGCTGATGGGCTTCGTCTCGATTCCACTAGTAACATTCGGCGATCACGGCAAGGCGATCTGCCCGACGGTTGGCAGTTGATGCAATGGATCAACAGAGATAAATATCCAGACAATTTTACTATTGCTGAAGATCTCGAAGATAACGAATGGATTACGAAGAAGGAGGAAGATGGCGGTGCCGGTTTCGGTTCTCAATGGGATGTCGGTTTTTATCGCGTGATTCGTGATGCCGTTGTATCGATGAACGATGAATCACGATCAATGCCGGCTATTCGGGATGCTCTCAACAAACGCTACAATGGTGATGCATTTCAACGCGTTATTTATTCTGAATCGCACGACGAGGTGACCGAACATTTTGGGATCAAACTAGGTCGTATGCCCGAGAAAATATGGCCAGGTAATGCCGATTCGTGGGCTAGTCGGAAACGATCGACACTCGCCGCTGCCATCGTCTTCACCTCGCCCGGTGTACCCATGATCTTTCAGGTATGATGTGAATTTAAAAAGAGAGTTCGCCAGTCGCTTAACTTTCAATGTCTCATGCTCCTGATCTCCATGGCAAATGGAAGATCAGAATGTATGCGGTGAGTTGCTTTGAAAACGATCCCTTGGTGATCCTTGATCTAAGTAAAATCTTTCCGAGAGTATTTCATTCGATTTGTAGGTCGGAAATATATATTCTCTGCAAGTTTCACCTTGATCAAATGAAACTGACCTATAGAATAATTTTTCAGCGTGAGTCTGGTGGCCGGGTCCAGGCAGGTTAAAAAAGTATATTTCACTCTCTTTGTATGTTTGGTAGCATGCCATGTTCATAAGCACGAGTTCAATTTAAAAGGTCAAATGGAAAAATAAGATGCGCTTCATTTTGAGGGTGATTTTTCGGCTCTCTCAACTTGTGGCTCGAGGTGTGCAGGATGACCCTACCCTATCCTATTAGGGTAAGGTAGGTTAAGGGCACGAAGGATTCTTATAGGATAGGGTACAGGTTGAGACGTTGGTAAAAGAAATTTTTATAGTGTTAGGGTACAGGGTACAAAAAACTCATACCCTGCACACCTCTACTTGTGGCCTGCCGATCTCGAAAACTTGTGGTGCATATCTAGATTTTTCTACTGAACGTACAGGCCAAAAATACAGAAACAGTAGAAAAAGAATATTTCTTACTGGAGAAAGTGCCATTCAAAATTTTTTTTTTTCTCTCAAAGGGCCAAGAGTTTCTCGAATTGGGCACGTGGACAGACAGTCCGAAGACGAATCCCGATGCGATGCTCGACTGGAGCAAGGCTACAAAGTACAGCGGCATTCTCCAGCTCTACCGTAATCTCATCGAATTACGTCGTAACAAACAAAAGAACACTCGAGGTCTTATGGGTCAAAACATTCGTGTCTTCCATACGAACGATCAAACCAAAGTGATAGCCTATCATCGTTGGATGGAGGGTGGCCCAGGAGATGATGTGATTGTTGTGGCCAACTTTTCAACTCAATCATTTGATTCCTATACAATCGGTTTTCCGAACTCGGGCACGTGGGAACTTCGCTTTAATTCGGATTGGAAAGGCTATTGTGAGGATTTTACAAACAAAGGATACAGTACCACAGCACATGAAGGCGAATGTGATGGCTTGCCATGCCAAGGCAATGTTGGTTTGGGTCCTTACAGCTTGATTATTCTCTCGCAGTGACTGTTCACCTTTTGCTAGCTTAGAATTGCTAAAATAGATCAGGATCTTGGTACTAATAAGGTACCCTAATACATGAAAGTACGATTTTTTGCAAAATCACAAAATTGAGCTCTGTATGCGCACATTAAGTCGCACAACATCCGGAGTATCGGTTCAAAGAATTCATCATTGATTGATTCGCGACAGCTTCGAGCAACTGTGTAACATGGACGAAAAAAATACACTTCGTTCCTTGTGTGCCCAATCGATAGAGCATCTCAAGGGACTTCCAAATGTCAAGTTTGGCGTTTTCTGGTTGTTCTCTTATGAGACAGGCCATATTATTCTCACGCGAAAAAAACAGGAGTTTTGAATGAAGTGAATATTTTGTTGTTCGGCCATTTTGCATCCGATTTTCTTAAGCAACACATCACTCGTTAGAGCATCAAAAAACTAATCTCGAAAAGTAGTCAAATAATCAAGTCAATAGATCATGTCAAATAGTAGTCAAATAATCAAACGTCAAGTGGATACATAACGTATTTGATTTTTACACAGAAACATAAAACAAAAATTTTAATAAAAAAGATTTTTATTTGCGCAATATTCTTCAATTAAGTACATTCCCTTACTAAGAGCTGTTCACTTATAGTGACAAATATTGATGATAAAGACACACATTGATTGACAGAAAAACAACGTTGTGTCACATGAATTAAACACAATTTTTTTTCTTCATTTAGAATTATTGAGACAAAAATAGTTCGAGAACTGTGCAAAAAAAATCTATTCGATAATAGATCCTGGAGTCATAAAGAAAATCTAGTCAGCTATTACTAGATGATATATTTCTGTTCCCTTTTTCTGCATTTATCGTGAAGACGTTATAGTCTTCTACATAGCTGACTCCTTTAGGATCTTGGTTTTTCCCATATAGTTTCAGAAACTAGGTTTCTATATAGAAAATAGAAATAAATATCTTCCTATATGAGTGATGTTGTGTAATATAATGATGTAATAAAATTAGAAAAAAACGTTATTTTACAACATTAATTTAACCAAACAAGAATAAGAATTTGATCATAATCGGAAAGTATTAGATTGAGAGTGTAGAGAAAAAGAGAAAAAAAAAATGAACAGAAGAGAAAATTAAACACTAGAGAATTGAGGACACTATTTATCAGAAAATGGATTCAGTTACTTCTAACAACATCCTTTAGGCAATGTATAATATTTGTTTGTGTATGATAGAATAAAATTGAGACAAAATGAAAATAGTGGATGATCATAAACTAAAATAAATTAATAACATGCACAAATGTCATTAGTAATCAATTTAAAAAAAGAAAATTCGACGAAACAAACGAAAATTGCATGTTGCGTCGAGTTTGATTTTCATTTAATACATTAACAACTTTTCAAGGAGAGAAAGAAAAGAACTATTTCGAACACAAATAAAAATTTTAAAACATAAAATTTTTATTCTATATCAAGTATTACGGTTTCTATTTCAGTTGCTAGTTGACACTCATCGATTTTAAAATTCAACAACGCTTCAGTCAAGTGTCTCATTAGTACCAAAATTGTAAACACATGTATGAGATTGAGGATGATGCTAGAGAAGTAAAAAAAAAGTAAAGTTAGTATATTCATTTTGATGACAACATACATTAGATTTTTTCTTTTAGATGAAGTTTGTTATAAAAATTAATTAAGTAGTAAAACTCTTTTAGCGTGTTTGTCATCTTATTTTATGTTACATAGATTTTATAAATCAAAAGGTTTTTTCTTTTAATTAATTGCAAAAGTAGAAAACATGTCAGAAAAATTTTACTTTTTTCAACTAAAATTTCGGTCTATTTCTCTCTCTTTTGGACAAGGTTATAATAGTCAAAAAAAAACAAACGTAAGATTCTTCGTTATCTGTGATCAATTTTTTTTTTATTATTTTTATCAAATATATTGATGTCTGTCTGCATGCATTTAAAAGTTGTTTTTATATGTTTTCATTCTTCTTCTATCATGCCAAACACTGTGATAAGATCTTTATTGTTCTCTTTTTTTTCTCTCTATACTCGTATTTAATAATTCATACAGAATATAGAAGTAGCACAATTCGATCATTCTTGTGTACATCTTTCAATAATTATTCTCTAATAAGACGAAAGAGTTTCTGTGTTTTGTTAGTTTTGCTTAATGATGAAGAGATAATATTATCATCATCAACAAAATAAATGATGAAAGAAAAAGACGAGAAAGAAATAATTGAGATCTAAGTACGAAAGGACAAGTGTGTGTGTGTGTGTGTGTGTGTGTGTGTGTGTGTTATTTGATACCTTCTAAAAACGATGCCATGTCGACTATTGCTGTGGGGTAAAAGAACAAGATGGATAAAGCGATCGTATAAGTGAAGTTTATATAGAGAGGTTTTAGATTACTTTACTAATGTGAATACATATTTAATACAGTTTGTATGATATATGTGAATGATTAATTGAATTGCAGAACTCTTGAATATTTGATAATTTGAAGAGATATCCTTACCTTTGTTTATAAATAGAAAAATTTCGTATATTTTATTTTTATTCTTAGTAAGAAAACGATATGGAAACAACGACGGCTACTATAATATAAATTAAATTTAAATAAGGTTTAGTTCTTTGACTTGAATGAGATAGTGCTTGAGTATAACTTTTTTGACATTGTGGATAATTTTCATTAAAAATAGTTTTTAAATTATTAATCGTATTTTTATCACATTGATAACGAATATCTGGATCGATTTCGAGACATTTGCGTACCTTTATATATGCTTCACATTTAGTATTTAATTGTTGTTTATCTAAATGACGATCACGACGAAATAAACACGTAAGAATTTGTTGATGACACCACGAATAATCATCTACAACGGATAATAAACCCGATATTTTAGAATAACTATTAATTGTTATATCACTACTGAATGGAGATGTCACTATAGTTTGAATGAACAAAGTCGACGATAAATATAAAACGACGGCAAATTTATTTATATAGAATAATTGGATAAAATTGATCAAGTGATCATAAATTGGATGAAATAAAATCATTAACGTTTATTTAATATTGAATTTTGTTAGCAATTAATTATTAACCTAAAATAACTAATCCAAGTAGTAACAAAACAATAACAAAGAGATTATAAATGTCAGGTTCAATGAAAAAACACATGAAACACAGAAACAAATATGAATTGGAATTCATGAGTTAGATAGAAGTCTGTTCTTTTTGTTTATTGTTATAATGTCTTAAAATCTTCTAATATAAGAGACTGTGTTATTCTAATTCAATTCAATATATGCCTGCAGTTATCAGAATAATCAATAATTTTGAAGGTTTAGATAATAGAAATCAACTACACTAGTAGTTGACTTTTTCCCTTTCAACAAATTTTATTAAGGCTAATTATGGGAATTTACTTACGAACAAAAATTTTCTTTTTTATTTTAGTCATGAGTGTTCACGAATGGTTACTCCTAAAAATTATTCAGAAAATTGTATCTGATATTATATTTTTTCTCGACTAATTTAAAAATATGTTTTTGAGTTAGTATAGAAGAAGAAAGAGTACTCCGTCTTGCACCTACTGTTACTGGTGTAGGGTGCTCCCGAATGGCAATTTCAATAGTCCAATATCTTCCCTGTAGTTGACAAGCTTCTGACATGGTCATTTATCTCGTTACTAGTCATCAACCACAGCTATGGACACAAGTCTGATGCCGAGTTCTTTCGTCCAAATGCTTGAGCTCCTCATACACACTCACTAACCATGTGTTAGCTTTCCGAAAACTCACGTGAACTAGCCAGAAGAACTGTGTTGTACGTCCCAACTTAGTAAGTTTGCTGTCGAATGGGTAATCCGAGACATAAGTAACTTACTCAAAATTGTAATATGATTTGCCGGCATCGAAATTCAAACTCAGTACGTCTGAAGTACGCGACGAACAACATAATCACTAAGCCGTGCTGTCTCAAAACATGACACTTAACTTTCTATCTTAAATGCTAAAATGAGTGTGTTAACGTATATCCGAACCTATTTCAACTTTAACTCTTGAAATTTTACTGAAATAATCAAAAAGACTTTTTAAACAGGAAAAAATAGTCAAAATCGATCTTAGTAATAAATTAGAAATTTCAGTTTACTCTGTACTTCTCTGCTATCAAATGTTTAATGTTACTCACTTTCATTAGCTAGAGATTTGTTAAAAATGTTTTACTCCAATATGGGAAAAAACGCAATCGAGTGTAAAACAAAAAATATGCTCAAATTTACTCGTTTTGCTTCGTTGAATTTTAATCTTAAATTGAGTGCATAGGTGTTAAGTAAAGAACAATGTGTTAATAAATGAAAAAATTTACTTACATTTATGAGTTTTCTTCTTTTTTATTTTCTTCTTTGTCGTTTTTACAGTCGTTGACAGATGTTCAATTAAAAGGCTTTATCTTTCAAATGATCGGCGTTCATACCAAAATGAATGATAAGCCCATATTATTCTATCGAAAACAGACGTGATGATAATTTTCTTAAAATCTCTCTATTTGTTTATAATTGATCATGTACAGGTGTTCATGTGCTGTACATTAGAAAATTTTTTTTTGTTCTTTCTCTGTTAGAAAAAAAATGAAAACGGACCCAAATTCTGTGTATGTAAAAATATGCATCAAAAATTGAACGTCATTACAGAAGAACCGGAAGACATTCCACACCAAAAAAAAGAAGAAAAAGGAGTGTTATGCGTTATTATTACTACAGTACATTTTCAAACAAGAAGAAAAAAAAGAGAGAAAGAAATAACAAAGTTGTGCCTATTTTCTTCTCTCTTTTGCCTCCCCATCACAAGTTTAATAATCGAATCGATATTGCATACTAGAAGGATCTGCAGTTTCATACATAGAAAAGTTTTATAAATAAATGTTAGTAAAATTGTCTAAGTATTTTTATAAGTTATATTACTTGATATGACTATCGATGACGCACGTACTCGGCAACTTTTCAAAAGAGCATTTTGGTAAAAAATTTCTGTATAAATGTAAAGTTTTTTCTTGAAAGAGACTGTCGGTAAAAAAATCGTCTTAGAAGGGTCAGAATCCTATTTCTCTCCACTCCTTTGGTTCTTCGCTGACTACTACGATGTCTCCATGCGAGATATGTATATGAAACGGATAAACTTTTCATTTCTTTATGACAAATGATGTGTGGTTTTTTTGCTCTCTTTCCCGTTTTCACACTGCCGTTTTTGATTTCCTGTTTCCTGTTTAGTTACTAATAATCATCATGAATTCATATATTTTTTCACTCACTCTCTGTGTCACTCCTCTTGATATAATGTGATATGTACTTGACAATAGAATGGAATGCATTTCAAAGCTTAATTGAGTGTCAGTGAAACATATCTCTTACAAACTGTTTGCATACAATCGTTTCCAGATAACATTTTCTTATCAAATATAAAGGAAAATAAAAAATTAGCCTTTTCACGGGTCCTCCGTTTAAATGTTCATATATGAGAGTCAAAAAAAACAGAGAGAATGATGTTAATCGAGACTAACTATATAGTCGATGTCAGGAAATGCATCCAGAATGAGTTATCATGAATATACAATAAAGTTGAATGGTAATTATCAATATATGTTGCCAGATTATTCCTCTGTTTGTTGGTCAAAATGTATTTATATAGTCAATATATAAAATTCTTTTCAAATGTGAAACTGTTCTTATAATAGAAAGTTTTATTAACCAAATTTTGTTAATTAAGTCAAATATATACGTGTAAACAATGATTCTTTACCTGTATTTGACTTAAAATATCTAATTATTTGATATGCATTGGTAATATGAAGCGGTATAAATCAACTACTGCCTTGTGTGTTTTGTTGTCTTTTTTAACAATTAAGACAAATTTACTCAGTCTTTTTAGGACAAAACGATAATAGATGAAATGCCTTGCATTAATTCTCTGATTTACAAATTAGACCCACGTTTATTTTAATCGTAATAAGTGCAAAAGAAAGAACTCCTACTGATCATTAACACTATAGTTCTAATATTTTCACTTTTCATCCACTATATTTCGACGATTACGTTTTTTTGAATTATTTTACTAGAAAAAGTATGTTGAGCACCATTTTACATCTGCTTTTCACATTACAATAACTGATGTAACATTTTTATTTGAAAACAAAAGAAAATTAGTTCTGCTAGAACAGACACTAAATTAGATGAAGACATTTATGCCTTTCCGAAACTTTTATTGTTTGAATGAAAAAAATAACATGAGTAGATAACTTTCACAGTTTAAGTAAAAACAACTTATTCAAATCCGTTGCTTTCGCTTGTGTTTAATTACGTAATGCATTTAATACAAGTTTTGTTAACATATCTTATCAAGTAAGAACCTTTTAGTTATATATTTCGTTCAAACAACCAAAGGGTGTAGTAGCATTTCAGAACAAAAAATACGTTAAAAAGTGAGTATCTTTATCGTATAGTATGTGATAGATGACACTACTTAACGTAATCTTAACGTAAGTTATTCGAAAATGATGGGGATATATTAAGAAAAGTATGAATACCGTCAGACTGAAAATATGTATACATCACTGGATCATTGGTTTGCTTGTTCTTTCAGCTAGAATGCGAAAACGTCTAATAAATATCATATGGTCACTAAATAAATAAAAAGTTAAGCTACGAAAGACTTGTATAACTGGGTGAATAGCAATAATAGGTAAATAAAAATATATAATCATAGGTCTGATTGTCCGGGAACGCTATACACTAGATTTTCATCCGTTCTAAACTCAAGATGTTTGAAAGCATCGGGATTTACAAACGATCTTTCATCTACACCTTTTTGACTTATGTTTTCATTTAAACTGTCTTCTGTTGGTTTTTGTAAATGACGAAATGATTCCAAATTGACGTAGGATCGATTATCAATGGCTACATCGTTTCCACTTTGTTCATCTTTTCTCTGATATTTTTGTTCTAAGTGCGCTAAGGCATTTGGATTTGGTAAATAACTCGTTGTGTCGATTAATGGTCCTTGTTTCTCTTTCTCGCGCGGTGATTCAACAGTAGGACGTTCAATATATTTGAAAGCAGTTGGATTTACGTACCCACGTCGATCGATACCCGATTCTATTGGATCTTCACGTTTTTGAAATTTTTGTTCAATGTGAGCCAAGGCATTTGGGTTTTGTAAATAGCTTCGAGTATCAATTTCTGGTGTGATATCATCTGATTTAGGCGGTGGACGACGATCAATGTATTTAAAAGCATTCGGATCCACATAAGATCGTTCATCCACTTCGGGACCCTCGATTTTTCGTTGTGGTTCTTTTCGTTCCAAATACTTGAATGCTGCTGGATTCACGATTGGTTTATAATCGATTCCACTTTCGATATCTGGTTTTGGTTGTGGTTTTCTTTCAACATTTTTGAAAGCATCAGGATTTACAATGGGAGAATGATCAATGCAACTTTCTGTGAGTGTTTTTTGCTCTGGTCTACGTTCTAAGTATTTGAACGCATCTGGATTCACAATCGAACGTGTATCAATCGATGGTTCATTTAAATCTATTGTCGATTTTGGCTGTGGTTTACTTTCCAAATACCTGAAATAAAAAACTATTAGTCTAGAGTGTCGAAAACTACAAATGGTCTAGAATATCAGAAAACTTGCTTTAGCTTCAATTATCTTAATTATTTGTTGAATTAATTCCATTTTACATATTAAATATTTGAAGGTACTCAATGATCTTATCGTATCTCTCTTTTAATAATCTATATATTACAAACTTATTTACCTGAATGCCTCTGGATTTGTTATTGGTCTAGTATCGATATATGGACTTTGATCTTCTTGATTCTTTTTTCCATCTTGTCTCTTATTTTCAATGTACCGAAAAGAGTCAAAATTAACAATAGGTCGAGTATCAATACCCACGATATCATCATCTTTTTTATTCTTATTTAACTGCTGTTCACGTCTACGTTCAAGTTGTTGTACAGCATCTAAATTAATTATTGGTCGATTATCAATACCACTATCGATTTCATCCGTTTTTTTCGGTGGTTTTCTTTCCTGCATGTTTAAATAGCGAAATGCACTCGGATCGATGATCGGCTTATCATCAATTTCACCACGTAACTCTTTTTTAGCGTATGGACTCTCAGAAGCTAGATTCTTTGGTTGCATGTGAGAAGGACTATAAGGAGATGTTTTGCTAACAAGTGAGGGATTAATCGGGTTTGTTTTTTGCGGAGGAATCAACGGCTGCTGTTCAGCTGGACGGTTGTACATGTAAGCTGGTTGAACTTGAGATTTAAGATCTTTTGCCGTTTGAAAATTATGAGGGGCTTGAGGTGGAATATATTGAGGTTGATTGTGAACGGTTATAGGTACAGGATTGGTTGAGCGATTTTGAACGTAAAGAGAAGGCGGAATGTTATATTGCTGTGACGAGGGATTTGGTTGATATTGACTAGGTGTAAAATTTGGTGTAAATTGCTGTGCATGTGAGGGTGCTGCCTGTCTTGGAGCCGTTCGTCCATCTGCATAATTCACAACTTGTATATTCAACTTGCTTTCATGTTTTGGCTGATATGTATTATAAGGTGCTGACATTCTAAATAGAATAGATTGTCTTTATACGCTTTTAGAACTCTTTCATAAAATGATATACTGTGTTCTTTTCAATTACTTCGGCACATTTTTTCATGCATACCGTCAAAAAAAATTAAAACTTTCAAGATCTGATGGAGAGAATACACGTGTCAGAGTTAGAAACGGTCCGACCTGATTTTTCCCAACCGATTTCTATACTGACACGTGTCCACATGTTAGTTTGAGAGTTGTTACAGCTAACAAATTCATCGAAAAAGGGTGGAATGAATATGAAACGTATTTTTTTAATTATTACTGAAAAATATCATTCAACTACTTCATTAATACCATCATCGGATCTATCGTCACTATCTCTAACAAATATCATCCGACACCAGTTCTACCACTCGCAACACTACCCACGCCTATCCGCTGAAAATCATTTATACCACTGCGGCTATTACAACGTTGCCACCCCATGCCATCTCATACCAATTATACACTAGTTATAGACTAACTACATGTGAGCATACATGCTAATTTTTTATTTTTGAAGCCTGGAAAATGCAGCTATGGGGTCACGAAGAATGATAGATCTGTTTATGCTTGTTGAAGCTGGGATTGTGGACCCAAATGGTTACGCTCGACTAAATAGGGACTTCGAAATATTTTTCAAACTTTCTGTATAAATTACTTCTATAAATGACAACGATCAATCAATCATGGATAGACATCATGCTTTAACCGGTGCCCACGATTGGGAAACTCTAGTGCATGGAGATAATATAAAAAGTTCGTTTAACAGTGGCCACATGCTTTCATGTTGTGAAAGTCCAGGAAGTGATCAAAGGGATGGCACTTTCTAATGTATTGAGATGAAATTAAGAAGTAATCACATCAGTAAATCGAGCTATCAATACTTTCATATAGACAAGAACTGTTTTACCTGGTTCGAGTTAGTCTAAATTAGGAAGAAGATATAAAAAAATCTTCTTCAGCCGATACTATAAAATTTTCTGTTCTCTTTTTTGAGTTCAATAAATTTTTTCTAAGAAAATAAAGTTTTTTCAATTAGTAGATATATCCCACTTTCTCACAAAAAAAACAGCCCTTCGTCTAGTGTGAACAATAATTTTTTTTGTCTTTTAGTGATTTGTAAAAACAAAATGGAACAGATGTTCAATGAATGTAGACTAACCTATTGTGAATACAGTTTTTTTTAATTCAACGTTCATGAACAATAACCATAGACTATGTCTATACCATTAGTTAACGTTTTACGATATTTTCTTTGAAAGAACGAATATTTTTTTATCAGAAAAAGTATCAGATATGTTATTATGACTTTATAATAGAACCATTTAACTGATGAACGCTCTCCGATTCAACAGTATGCTTTTGATCAACATTTCGTCCGTACAGTTCGTAAGACCTTTCAAACAATAGTTTTTATTAGCCAGTACTGATTTATTATTTCTACTTATAATAAGTGACATATGTGAGAGAGCCTACACTGTTAATAAGAGAAGCAAAAGAAGAATCACCGCTTTTTGGTTACCGATAACGGTGTAGAATCAGACGGTTCGTAGTTTTTCAGAAACTCTAAAAAATAGCCAAAATCTTTCTTTTAGACATAATTGTAGCACACAAATTTCTGATTAAAATGAGACATCTCCCAGCTCTGCACGACCTTTCTTTGCAAAGTTATAGAATTTACAAGAAAAGCCCTAAATATTCATTGTCAGCTCAAAGCTACAGAGATAAGAAGAAAGTAATTTAGGGCTTTTCTTGTAAATTCTATAACTTTGCAAAGAAACGTCATGTAGCGCTGGAAGATGTCCCATTTTAATCAGAAATTTGCGGGCTACAATCATGCCTCATTAAGAAAAGATTTTGGTTATTTTTTAGAGTTTCTGGAAAACTAGTTTTCTAGAAAACCGGACCTTCGAAGGCCTAGCGGTAAAAATCATGTTCATATTCGGAATCAGCACGATCGATAACCTATTGTCCACTAATTTTTGAGTCACAAGCAATTTTCAGGTTGGAGAGGTTCCCTCGTTAGACCTGCACCAGTTAAGAATGAAGCGTGTACTGAAAAAAACATTTATATTTTCGACAATATGAGTTATAAAAATTTTGGATGATTGGATGATACAGTATTAGAGAGCAGAATCCTCTCTACAAAATAGTTTGGCCAGCTAACTGGGGTCCTTTCTTTAATCAAATGATCATATTTTTTGATTCAGTCCCGTTTCGTCAACAGTCACTCTCACACCGCCCCTCCCGCCTTTGAAATTCATTGATGTATATTCTTTGAAGTGCCCGATTTGTCGTCGAAACGGGACGATACCTATTTTTTTGTCTAAAGATAATATAAAGTTTTTGAATAAACTATTTTGTGGAGAGGATTCTGATTCTAATGTGCTATAACTAATATTATCGAAAATATTAATGTTTTTTAGTTCACGTTTCATTTTTAACTGGTGCAGGTTCAGGTATACTATCGGATGGATGAGTCGAGACACATGAACATAAATAACTTGTCCAAGGTTACACGATTTTCAAGTGTCAAGGTTAGAATATTACCTTTAAAATATTGATTGACAAATAGCAGAATCTTTAAATTTATCTTGTTAATAAAATTCAAAACTAGATAATTTTCTTTGTTTATTTGTGCATATCTTACATAACCGAACAAGAAATTTGAATACTAATATGTTGCTAAGTGTATTAAGACAAAAAAGATCCTTGAACCGCGTAAACACGGCCTTTTCTTTATATAAAAATTCTATAATATATCGTGTATATACAATAAACAGAAGTTATTTACGTGCCAACCTTTTTCTAATATGGATAGAGAGAGAGAAATAACAGATATTTTCTCTGATTTTTCGTCATGTATCCGAAAAAGGAAAATGTATTATATCTACACGACATAACTGTACACAAAAAAAGAGAACAAAATTAGATACATGTTTGCCAAATTAGCTTGAAGACATTGATAAAAATTCGAACAGTTACTAGTAAAAATAAAAAAAACTCTGTTAGACGATTATTATTAGATTTCTGTTAAATAAATGTGCGTCAACGTCTATTAGTCGATAAAATAAGTATTATATCATAAAATAGTTTGTTTCTCTTGTTTGTTTCTTTTCCTAAAATGCATCTTGTGGACATGATTATATATATTATTCTGACAACGTTGAATAGAAATTTGATATTGACTGTTGTTGATCATTCCTATTAGATTATACAAAAGACATAAACAGTTGTACATTACTAACATTCTCTCATATATTTAGAAATTTTAAAAAGTTTTATTGGACTAATATAGCACTATTTAGATAATTGATAACTACACTATTTTATAGTGGTGATGATGGTGGTGGTGGAATAATGTTAATAATTGGTGGATGTTGAATATGATAAGGAGATGAAGAAATTCTTCTTGTATTATTTTGTTGTTGTTCATGTGTTGTTTGATAACAAAATGCAAAGAAAACACTTATAAATTCTTTTCGTACAGTTTTGAATGGTAATATAAATGCGGCAAAATTTAATGTTGATGCTAATAATTCATTAAAACTAAACAAATAATAAAGTCCCATAAATAATGTAAAATCTATTGAAATAAAATATTTTAATAATACAAGTATACGAAGTGGAAATGTTGTAGATAATTGTAATATGGCAATAAAAATTAAAATAATACTTGTTTCATACGATGAAGATTGTTCACGATTTATTGTTAAATGATCTCTTGTACGTCGATGTTTACATAGACCAATGATAATTAAAAATATTGAAATAAATGTAATGAAACAGGGTATCAATGAAAATAGAAGAACATCAACAATGGCATAGACTTTATAATCAAAGATTACATTTAAATTATAAATGAAAAATGGACTAGAATAAAAACATTTTGTATAATCCATTGATTGAAAATAATTTGGTATCAAATAAAAATGTGTGGCAATAAACATTGAAAAAATATTAAATAATTCAAAAATAATAGCTTTACGAACAGTTATTAGAATTCGAGCACGAAATGGATACCATAATATAATTGTACGTTCGACAGATAACATAACAATAGTGGCAACAGATAAATGAGAAAAAAAATTTTGTAAGAAAAATGCAAAATTACATCGAGTATATTTGTATCTAATATTAAAGAAAATATTGTATATAATGGGTGTGACAGAACAAATGATCCTCTCAGTATTTTTTATCGTGTAGACTTGGAGCTTTTTTGAAAAAATTGACCGTGTCATTCTCTGCAAGAATGATATTGAATATTTTTTATATATCGTAAAAATAAAAGAATATAGACAAAATATTGCGCAGTTTCAATTTCCATTACTTTCTAACACAAAACATGCTTTTTCAATTTTAGTCCTATATATTTTGTGATATAGAGTAAGCGCTGATGGCTATTTCGTAGTCCTCGAAAAGCTCTATCAACTGAGTACAAAGTTGGGCAACTCAGCTTAAAAAGGGAATTAATTCGATTCGATTCATTTGAAAAAAATTTCAATTCAATTCAATTCGATTCGATGATTTGTGAAAAATTTTTTGATTCAATTCAACTAAATTCATCTAGTCTGAGAATTGTTTTAGATTCCATTCGTACAGTTCGAAATATTTTTTCAACTGAATTCAAACGCGTGTAGAGCATAAAATATTTTGCTTTTGTTTTTCACTCTTCTTCTAAATCATATGTACTAAGGAGATAAAGGAAGAAAATCGCGATATGACTAAGCAGATAGATGATAACCCAAAGAAAACTTATAAAATAAATTATAGTCATAATTCAATCTTTTTTGATTTTATTAGTATATTGATCTTGCAACAGGAATTTCTTGATTTTTTTCAAATTGAATGAATTTAATTCAATTCAGTGATCCTAGTAAAAATTTTCGATTCAATTCAACTCGATTCGATGATTTTTGAAAATTTTTTCCATTCAATTCGATTCCATTCACGAATTAAATTGAATCGAGTTGAGTTGGTCGTTTTTTGAATTGAGTTGCCTAGCTCTGACTGAGTATACTTAAAACTCTTCATAATCACAAGCGGTTCTAGGAGAATTTGTGAAAACACAAAAATTATCGTTGTCCAACTTCAAGTTTGAGGCACGCAAGAAAATTATATAAATCGGTAAAAATTGCACGTTTTGAGATCGAGCTTGTCTTATCTTAAAGCAAAATAGCTCTTCTGTTACATTCGAGCAGAGAAAGTTCACTAACTCGCTAACCATTTCTTTTTCAATACTAAAATGAAAAGGCAGAAATTTTCTTTTTTTGGTAAATTTTAGCAAAATCCCCTTTTGAGTCAGAAAGACATGTTCAAAGCAAATTCACTATATATACGAAAAGAAAGGTGACACTTCGGAGCACCAGAACATACATTTTGATTCCACTTTTATGTATGGTACCGTGCTCAAAATAACATATCTTGGAAAATACACATTCGTCGAGAATCTAATTTTCTAATAAATGAATTCGCATACGCTGGAAATTCTTTCTGTTATGCAAAGGATGATAATACTGCGTATTGATGTATATGGTGTGTTTGAGTATTCTTTATTATTTTCTGGAGAGTTTAGGTCAACATGTAGGTTAGGCAGCGATCGCTTGCGGATTTTCTCTTATTTTCTGACTAGTTCAGGTCACCATATAGATTACTTATGATTTTTATTTATATGTATTCAAACAATCAGATATTGATAGACCCTAAATGTAGTCCCTTATGTATTTCTGATGTGTTTTCTATGTCAGCTATTATCGGAAAGTTTATTCAATGAATTCATATCTTTCTAAACATATACCTGGAGGTGTCGGAGTGGAGATGTGTGTCGGGGGAGATGGAAGACGCTATGAGAGTGAATGGCAGTCCTTATCTAGCCTATATCGTGGCCTGAACTCGTCAAAAAATAAGAGAGAATTCGCAATCGATCGTTAGCTGACCTAGATGGTGACCTGAACTAGTGAGAGAAAAGTTAAACATTGTAAGTCTGTAACCAGTATGAAAACATGTTGCATACCGACATACTAAAGAGTAATTTAGTTCACCGCGAATACGAATTTTTCATGATCTCCAAAATAAATATTTTTTCGTTGTGTTTTGTGTTAGAAAATAATGGAGATTGAAGGTGCGCAGTATTTCGTCTAATATTCTTTTATTTTTATGCTATATAAAAAATGTTCAATACGATTCTTGTAGAGAATAAAACGGTCAATTTTTTTCAAAAAAACTTCAAGCTCACACGATCAAAAATAAACGAGTTAGTTGAAAAATACTGCGAGAATCATTTATCCTTCTGCATCCGTTACAAATAAATAATGATATTATTAGAAATCAAGTAGTTACTTAACGTACTTTACTATAAATAAGGATAACGGTGGAAACCAATAAAATAAACGTTCAAATACACGACATGCATCATAAATAGCGAGAAACCTTAAAAATAGAGTAAAAAATAATAAAGTGTTTATAATATTTATATTGTTAATTATCTATTAACAAAGAGATTTATGTACCTGATGTGTAATCCGAATGATGTATACCGATATAAATGTGAAAAATGAACTAATATAAATGTGATAATACTAAGAAAAACTCGTGCTAATTCTAACAATGGCGTTATAGATTCTGTAACAGATTTGACAGTATCCACAAAATAATCATAAGGACTCGATATTGTTCGCGCTGTTAAATTAATATTAAAAATATTTTCAAAAGTAATGTTTAAATCACTCATATTCATATTTTTTAAAGATGTAGTGAGAATGTAGTTTGACGGTATATAATTTAATAGTCTTTTTTTGATTTATTCTTTTTTCTACTTTTTCTAACAAAACAAAAATTGTTGACTTATTTTTATTTCTGATGTGAATATACAATAATTTAGTGTTCTGTTGAAATTACCTATTTAATTCTATGAATAAGTAATGAACTATTATTATTTTTAAAGAGTACGACTCATTCTCAAGTACGTTAATATTAACTAACTATACTAATTGAACAACCTTGTCATAACGAAGCATATTTCATCGGAATCATAATAAAAAATAAAATGTATTTACTTATTTGAGATATTCAGTTATTTACGGATAAAGGACAATGAAATTTCTACTTTGTTTTTAGTTATTGACAAACAGCCTTTTGATCAATCAGTCTGTAGCAACGAATATTAGACCAAAAAATATGTAAATTGATCACGACAGCAATTTGTTTGAAAAAACGTTGAACACAATCAATGGTAGAGTTTAAAAAAAGAATTCCAGAGACATTATGCCTAAAAATATAGCATGCGCTAACAACAAAGACAACCACTGAAGACTTTACATTGAAAAATTATTATGCAGACTTGTTTCTTACTTTTTCATCTGACGAATGGCAATGTCTGTCAGAATCACAGGAAATTCCAAAAATATTCATCGATCATCGAAAAACCTTTGTAAGGCACGGGTAATTCAACATTTGAGCAGAATTTATTTTCATTTATTTGTACATGGTTGGCTAGAGCTCGTCGAGCTGAGTAACAAAAAATAGTTTTTAATTAATGTGTCAACTGTTTCGATTTGTTCTGTTATTTTTTCTTTGTAATAAAAAGTTTATATAAAAAAAGAAAAACTGAAAAAATTCGAAGGGTCTAAAACTTCGAAAAACTCCTTAGTTTCTAAAAAATTCAGATTTCTTTCTTTTTCGTTTTACTAACTTTTTGAGAAAATTCATTTTTGCTAGATCAGCACGAAAAAATATTCGTGTTTCTCTATTTTCTCCATCAGAGCTCATCTTTCATGCAATAAATATCATATTTGGAATCAGCATAAAAAACTGAGTCGAATGATGTGTATTTCGGAAATTTTCGTTTCCAGTAAAAATTTCAGTGATTTTTCGACATGAAAATTCGAAAAAAATAAAAGCTATCGAATAGGATAAAAAAAAGTACATCGTTCGACTCAGTTTTTGACGATGATCCCGAATATAATATTTTTATTGCATAAAAGATAAGCTCTGCTGGTGAAAATAGAGAATTACGAGCAGAATTACGATTTTTTCCTTTGCTGATCTAGGAAAAATGAATTTTCTCAGTGGCAAAGCAAAATGAAAAAAAAAGCCATGTGCCTTTTAAAGTTGGTTTAATAGCGGTTCTAATGAGGTACAAAAAACGACTTTATCTCTTCATCCAAAAAACTAGACAGGTTTGCAAAGTTGTTTAGGAACTTTTTAAAGGGGTAGTCCAAGACGCCCACACTGAATAGACTTTTGACTTTGACCTCGATCAAGCAGTATTCTCATACTCTATTTTTAATGATGAATCTGAAAAAAATGCTTTTGGAAAGTTAGAAGCACGAAAAAGAAATTTGAATTTTTAGAAACTAAAGGTTTTTTCGAAGTTTTAGACTTCGAATTTTTTCAGTTTTTCTTCCTTAAAAAAACTTTTAAAAAAATTAAAAATCACTTTTTCTTACTCAACTGGACGAGCTCTATCCAACCATGAACAAACAAATGAAAATAAATTCTGCTCAAATTTTGAATTACCCTCACTTTGTGTCTCAGCGAAACACACATTTTGGAACACGTTGAAAATACTTGAAAAATTAAAAAACATGCAGATTTAACAGACAAAAAAATTATTGAGATCAACAAGATTTTCAGCAAGGTTAACAATAAACACAATTGAAATCGACATATACAAGAACAAATACAAGATGAATTTCATAAAGATAATGCTCGAGTTTAGCAGATCAAAAAGCAAAAACTACTTTCATTTTTTCAATCACGCAATCAGAAAGGATTTCAAAAACATGTATATTTTAATCATGCAATTTCATCTTCTGCACGCATCTTGCCTTTTCCAGATGATATTCTGGTAAAACATTTATTCTGTCTATTATTCTTCACACGATCTACTCCTGATGTTGTATGTTGTATTTCACCTTTTGAATGTTTATCGTTATATTCAGGATCAACTGATCATAGACAAAGTTATTTTATTTGCTGAAATAAAAGAAGAGAGTGTGGAGCTGCATTATGTGCTATTTCCGTGACTATTATTCTTGCTTGTCGTATTCAGTTTCATATAATCTTCATAAGAGACGGAGAGTTGGTAATTTTTATCCAGAAAATTTTTTATTTTCGTAGTGAAAATCTATTTTTTCAAATACATTCAATTCTAGACGTGTATTTAGGCCACATAAAACTCGATGCGAATGAGCAAAAAATCTCATGATATGATCACTGCAGTATCATGCATATATTAAAAAAAACGAAGAAAAACCAGGCAATGACTTTAGTATCGACAAGATTCTGCAGAGATCTATGAGAACAATTTTTGTGCTCCTATCATACCAAGAAACTCCAACTGGCCTCAAAATTTAGACTCATTTGGATAGATCTAGATGAAGAGTCAGATTATTTGATAATCAGTAAAACTATCATCGGTTAGACATGCACCAATACCAATCTTTATTCAAGATATTGTACAATATTATTGGCTATCCAATAATATTGGGTCCCAATATTATTCTATACCCAATCTATTGGGACCAATAAAATTGGTCACTCAATAATATTGGGTAATATTGGGTTCTATAATACACGGGATTCCAACTTTTTAACCTTAATATCATTTACCTTCATAAAAACGTGAGGAAGCAAATCCCGATCGGGATTAGGCATGCACCGATTAATAACCGATGTTAGAGCATCCAGCAAAGTCGTTCCGAATCAGTTATAAAAAAGCACTTACTCATTTTGTAGAAATTTTCCTGCAGAAAATACTTTCGTTTTGGAAACGATTTTCTAGAAATCTTCCGAAATACAAGAATGTTTTTTACTATTCTCAAGTAAAAAAACATAAAGAGCAGGTGAAATAGAGTACATGTCGATATTCTGACATAATTTGTATAGAATTCCGAAATTTTCGCCTCTGATTTAGAAAAATGAATTTTCTCAGCAACGAAACAAAATTTTTAAAGCCGGACTTATAGCGAATCTAATGACCTTTAAATGACGGCTTCAGCCCTTAACAGAAACCAGATAGGTTTATAAAATTGCTTGGCGGTAGTTTAGAGGATTCGCTTGGGACAATCATACTAGACACGCTTTTAACTTCGAAATTGATCAAACACCATTTTTCTATTCTATGCGGAATAATAAAAAAATACTTTGGAAAATCCAGACTAATAAAGACAACGAAAACTTGAATATTCTTGAACTTGAAAGATTTGTCGAGTGTTCAGGAGCTCCAAGCTTTTTAAGTTTTTTACCATGAAAAAGATTTGTTTTTAAATTAAAAAATGCATTTTCTTAACCAGCGCGTTGTGCTCTATCCAACGATGTATAATAAGTTGGAAAAAAATTTAGCTGCAAGTTTGCAGTACTGGCATCTTACATTTGATAGAAGAAGGTACTGTTAGATTAGCTCTTTCATTTCCACTTGGACACAAGGTAATAGTTGCCTCAAATACTTCATGACTGAAGCAAATTAATTTAAAGAATTAACGTTTTGTACCTAACCAAACTCTTTTTTCAAAAGTGATGCCTATTATGTACATAGAATTTGACGTTCTGATAAATGCTTTTAGACAAAGTAGATTTAATCATTTTTTTCACGATATGAGGTCACACAGTATCTGTATGATTCAGTTTTTCGATTTAGGATTATAATGAATAACCATGTTATTCACACCAAAAGCATTAAGCATTTTAGATGAAATAACATCGCATACAGGAATCTTCTTTTTGTGTCCAGTTCGAATAATTATGATTCTAAAATAATTTCTTTTTCTGTCGATTCTAATTCTTATTGCTTTTCAGCCCGCCGTTTTCGTTACGTTATGGTTTTTAATAAATCGCCTGATTCTCCCATATATGTAACTGTGTTGCTGGAAACAAGTGCTCATGATCGTCAGGACCAGTCAAGTATCAGAGTTCAGCATTTATATTCTAAATATCCACTGATGTCACTGCCTGAAACAACTTTCGTCTTCATCTTTAGTTGTTCTCTTTTCAAAACACTACCTCAAGCGATTTTAAAAGAAATATAAATGAGTCAAAAGAAAACGTTTAGTTCAAAACTCTTAAGTACCAGACGTTCTTAAATTTGAATCGAATGTCCAGCGGTTAACCTAGGGTGCTTTCTCATTAAACACGCCCATTCACAGAGATTTGAGTATAATCATTGATATTATTTCTCATAAACACCGATTCTAAACTACTACAGTAGTATCGTTCAAATCATTATTCACTGACAACCGTTTAAAATATTTGATAGTGTGACTAGACCATAATCGTTAGTGACATAACCTAAAATATATACCCCTGGAAAAAATAAGTTTTCCTCGGTATTTTGAGGATATTGTTACCAAAAGAACGTATTTTTTTTTAAAGTAACGACATATTCTGAAAGCCCGTGAAATTTTACATCATCCTATATATTTTTATTTTTGTTTGGATCGCTGTGTAAAAAGATTATTCCAATGAAATGAACGCACCCTCGGTACCTCATTTCCACACACCTAATACAATCATTGTTATCTCGTATAGCTTTTCAAGATTTTTTCAGTATTACAAATAAGCTTTGAAAAAAGTAATCACATATTCTGATAGAACTTGAAATTCTCTATCACCCTATATATTTATATATTGTCTTGCATTTACTTGCTTGGAAAAAATTCGAATACAGTAAAGACAACCTACTTTGACAAGTACAAAAAAGTGCATATGTTTTGCTACTTCTTCAGTATTTTT